TCACCATTTTGCAAGAAAAGCCACACATGCTTCCTGTCATCAATGGGTCTGTGTGTCGACTGCTACTACAAGTCTCTATTCCTTCATTCCTGGCTGATGAGAGGTAAATGAATTGAAGGAGCTTAGGCCCTGAATACCGAGAAAATTGAAAAATCCAGAGTTTGTGCCCCCCTAAACTCTACGGTAGCTTCCATTTTTCCTCCATTCCCTTCTCTGCAACCTTTTGTGTGAACCCTAAATAGTTTTCTCTTTTTTCATTGTCTTTTCCATCTCTCCCATTCCAGGAGCGTCGCTTCGCAGGTTTGCCCTCTTTGCGCTGCTTTTGCTCCGGGTTTGATGGAGTTCAGACCAAGAGAGCCCAACACTTCTTAACCAAGGGATTGGGCCCAAATCGTACAAGGGAACCCCAATGTTATGTAGGGTGGATTCCCTATTCATCGATGGGTATTGAGCCTTCTGGGGAACAATTATCGGAATTTGGGGTTAGCAGCGTGACAGTTCCTTCCCAGCTTCGTGCCGAATGTGCGAGGCCTGAGAGTTGTGGATTTGTGTACCATGGCTTGGGAAAGGTGTTCTGGTTGTTACTGGAGTTCGCTACAAGTGCCGGGTGTATCAATTTCAAGTTTTGCATGGACGGCTGTGCAAGCGCGTTTTGTTGAATCCTTTCATCAATATACTACACAGGACTCTGTTTCTAACATGCCTTCTGCAACTGCCGACAGGCCAGTGTGTGATTTTGCTGACCAGTGTTCCCTGTCCGTCAGCCAACTGGAAGCTCTCCTTGGACGCCTTTGGGCACAGGCCAAGGTCTCCGAGGGGCTGATTGATGTCCAATCTGGATTCAGAAGTTTATGGCCCCTAGATGCTTTCATTTAGGTAGCTTGCTTACTGATCAACATACAATCTTGTTGGGTCATCTACTCTACGCAGGTGGAACTTTTTGGGGCCAGGGATCTCTATGCCCGAAACCTTAAACAGTATTGGTTCATGGCCACTCAACCAGGCGGGCAACTCACAAACCCCTAAAACACCCTAAGCCCTAAACCGGGAGCCACATGCTCAAGACAGAAAGAGCCCTGGAGACAAGCAGAGGAGGCGCAGCGCGAGCTCAAATTTTATGCTGCATTAGGATTTTGGTGGTTTCCAAAACTTGGGGCTCCCTGTACGAGCCGCGGTAGTGGATTTTAAGGCGTATGTAGGGGAATCCTGATATTTGGAATTTCCAATCATATTTGTTCGGTTTCAGGATATTGGTTAGGGATCCTGGTGAACTGTTCGGGTCTGGGGGCGATCTGCAATGGCCGGCTCGTATAATTAGGGTGAGAAGTATACTGCCTTGGGTGGATATAGGGAGGTTCACCAGTAGCTAGAAGTGCTAAGTTGTTGCTGTTCTTGCTTGGGCTATAACTACAGACGATCTATTTCAAAAGCTACTTCTATCCATCCGTGAACCTCCGAGTAGGCCCAGTCAGGCTTGAGATGGTGTGCGTTTGCAGTTTGAAGGAACAATGGGTCATGGTCGGATGCAGCTTTTTTATTCTCATGATTCTTAATCACAGGGATGAACATGAGAATTCTGAGTTTTAGTGGTCTTCCGAGGAGGAACCGGATCCGGCCTTGGGAACTGGCGTTTGCATGTAAGAAAACCCAATTGCAAAAGCCAGTGGCATCTTGAACCACTAGAGGGGTTCGCAGTAGAAGATTCCAAGAGCTGGGGGTCCTTACCCCCACCCCCCATAACAAGGAGCCTTAAATATTGGGGGTACAAGCTCATTGGGGACTTGGATGATTAATGATAAGTTTTTACGACAATTCCACCGCATCCCTTCCATAACAGCTTCCCCAATATAAGAGCTTAAGGGTCCCATGCCGGGCCGTACATGGGACTGTTATGGGGTGGGGGCAGCATCCGACTCGTCAACCTGAAGCCCAATCTCTCTCCGAGTTGACATTGGTAGGTAATGATGGAGAATCAACTAACCAGAAAATGAGAAATCACACAGAGAGGCCATGATGTGTCCCGATGGCCCTGCCCTGACCATTGATGGTCTTGCTGTGGACGTTTACGTGCCTGCCTGAGATTTCCGGCTTGCAAGGCAGATCTGAGGGGGCCCAACACCTTGGATCAGTTACGCGTTTTAGGATGCACACCCTAAGATGTTTTTGGGGTGCATACCTTGATTGATTTACACTCAGCTCCTGGGTTTATTTCGACCTCATAGCGTGGAAGAGACTGGGTGCGAGCAAAGCCTTCCCAGGGATCAGGTCTGGGTGCTGTGAGCAAGCTTTCCGTAACATGGTTGAAATGGATCCAGCCTCTTTAGGCCCACTTCCAGCTACAGTCACAGTGACAGTTTCGCCTTTGGTAGCAAGCATCACCTGCTTGCATCTCTTACACCTGTTGACCTTTTGCCATCTTTTGATGGTTGGCAGCTCAGTGTAGTGTAGATGCTGGCTGGAAGCTAACTTGAATGCCAACATGCATCAGATCAAAGTCATAAACCTTGAGATTCAAACTCCAACGGTAGCCTTGTTACCAGCACAGAGGACGGGAGTCCCATGTACTTCTCGCATGACAAGGACGCTGGGATTGAGTGACTGTCATGTGCATCGTGGATTGTTCTTTGCATGCCAAAAGTTTTGGCAGAGTTGGTTTCTATCCTTTCTACCATGAGTGCCCAATACTCTACGAACTGCGGAATGAACCCTACATGATACTAGGATGATACTAGGATCCCGAACATGGGTCAAAGTATGTTCCTGAATGCAGGGTCCCTGCACACGTGAGCAAGAGGGACCCTCGTACTTTAGATGTCAAGCCCCTAACACCTCCGCATATGCCCTCACTGAACCTCTTCGCAAGATGCTCCGACATCGTGCGCAGTGTTGAAAACATTGAAGCCCAAGCCCCGCAACCACACTTGAGCATCCCAGAGAAGCTGTTGCCCATCTGGCTTCAGCAATGACAATTTCGCAGATTTGCGCACACTTTCCTGACCTGAACGTCCTCTGTATCATTCAGATCCCTTCCGTCGCCAGGAGCTGTCTCAGGGGCATCTTTACAAACAGGAGGCAGGATCTTCATTGTTGGAGTCCTCCTTGAGGGTTGACCCCTGAATTCAGGTATGTACTTTAAAGTAATCATCTTAAGGGCCCTGGCGTCAGATCTTTTCCATGATGAAATGGTAGTGCGCCCTCTGGCACCATGATCTGGGGATGCTTCAATCCTGCAGCAGGCGCAAAGAACAAGGGATTGCAGGGGAACGTGTGCCCGTAGAACCACTGACGCACATTGCAGAGAGAGAGAGAGAGAGTGAGAGAGAGAGAGAGCGAGCCGCGGATGTTGTTTCCAACCTTTTGCATGGTTCCAGGTAGCCCAGCATGACACCGGAAAGCTGCTTATCTTCCGTGAGGAAGTCTGAAGATAAACCTCGAGAGCCAGTTGCATTTTATGTGAGGAATATACTCCCCATTATAACTGGATCCTTAATATGGCTCACGGTGTATGACTTGATTGAGGGGTATTGAGGTTCCTGGGAGGTTTGAAGATGTTAAGCACTCTGAGCTCAAGTTCAGACCGCAACATGGAGATCCTCACTTACTTGAAAGCCGAGGGCAGCCTCCCAAATCCGTAAACCCCAGAACCCACAAGGCTAAATTCGCAAACCTCAATCCATTCCTGGAAGAAGACAATGGCTCCAGCTGTGAAGCGCACTCATTCAGTTCTGTAGCAGGCACGCCGGCAGGCTTTGCAGCTGCGGGCAGATCGCCACTGCCGCAAGGTTGGGGTTCAGGGTTTAGACCTTTTAGGACTCAGGGTTTAGGCTTTGGAGGGTACGCAAGAATCCAGTTAAAGAAGCCCCTCAGGATTTCACAAGAGGCAGACTCAGGGATACATAGGGTTCAGGGTTCAGGGTGTGTATATATTCCCCAGAGAACCGTGGACAAAGAGCGAGGTCCATGGGTGCGTATGACGTGCTCGTACATGTGCCTATGACCAAATCATAGCCATAAAAGTAGCTGATAATTTACTATAGACCTCCAAGTAAAAGTTAAAGGGCAAACTCTCAATGTCTGGTATCTCACGGGGAATGGAGGAATGCATCCACATAGTAGCCTCTAGGCAATCCCCAACCTGCATACTTACATTTCATTTCTTCATGCCTGATGGAGGGAACCGTAAAGTTCTTGAAGACCAAGCAGCAGCTTCTTGGATTCTGCGAATATGGGCGTACTCACCGATATTCTGAAATCAAGCTTTGCATGAGTCTTCATCATCTATGCATAAGTCTGTAGACTCCGGGCTGATAGGAGAAACTGACCCGAAACCCCAAACCCAAATCCTGAGCCCTAAACTTTAAATCCCAAACCCTGAACCCCAAACCCACAACCCTAAATCCTAAACATTAAGCCTCAAGCCTGAAAGCGTTTGCTGGAGGTAGCGTTGGCTGCACTGCTCGTGGACCTGGAGAAGGCAATGAGAGCAGTGGCTCAGGGCATCTTCAGCTTGGTAATGAGGAATGCAGAAACGGAAAAGAGAATCGAGGCTACTATTCCTTTTCAGGGTTTATGTTTAGATTTTAGGGATTAGGGTCTAGGACTTAGGGTTAGAGGTTTTAAATTAGGGTCTGGGGGGTTCTATAAACAGCAGCCCTTGGCGACCTTAGGGATGGTTGGGTTTATCTGTGATTATGGGAGCGTATACAGTTAGTTTGTACAAGCAAGTTCAAGTGACCGGGGACACCAAGCACCTTCAGAGCCTTGCATGGACATGCAGGGGCAGTACACATGCCTTCGGCCTCCCAAATCTTTGTAAATCTTCGAGATTAGGTGCACTTGTGGCCATCCTGGGCACTCGGTCCCTGTTTGCTTTCGCGGCATTCTGTTTCCATGTAGCAATCTCTGAGGTCAGGTGTTGGCCAGAAGTCAGTGTCTAATTTCCACAACTTATGTAATCCCTAGACCCTAACTACGAGTTGCTCATTGCCTGGGCAGTGCAGGTCTGCAGCCTGAGCCTGGATGGAATCCTCCACGGGCCTTGCACGGCAGCGCCGCGACGGGGCCACCTGGCGTGAGAGACCACTATATCATGGTTTCGGGTTTGGGGGTATCAGCATTCGGAACAATCAAATGGACAAGAAATCCAAGCCAGGACGTGGAAATTAACTCGCTATTCAGGGATTATGGAAGGCTTTGAAGTGGTTTCTAACCCCAAAATTGAACCGCCTGTAAACCCTCAACCTATAGCCCTCAAACCCTGGAAACCTATCAACTACTTTCTACATCCTCCCAGGTCTGGGAATCCTTTAGCCCCAAACGGTGGACACAAATCTGAACCCTATGCACGTTCTTTGTAAGTCTTGGAGTCCTACTATATGGGCGTATCTACTTGCAGTCGGTAGTATCTCAAAAATTTGGACCCCAAAAAGACGGACGAGATTGAGCATCCCCCCCCCCCCACGGTGCTAACTGTCACAGAAGGGATGTGGTTCTCCTTCCTTGCTGCATATGGGACTACAGGGGCCTGCCAAGATTCTGTGAAGTTTAACCCTTCTTCCCGAACCCCAAATCCCCTTCTCCCTAAACCCTTATAGTCCTTAGAATTCCACAGCCCATAAATCTCTATACTCTAAAACTATGTAGATGCGCGTAATGTTTTTCTCTACTGAAGTGGCCCTGAAGCGAGGCCCAGAGGCGCAGCGGTCGAGGCTGGAGCGGTGCTAAGGTTTTTTTGGGTGTTGGGTTTTTCGGATTCTAGAGATTTAGGGGTTTGGGGGTTCAGGGTTCAGGGGTTCAGGGCTTATGTGTCTGCAGCTTTGGTCTTTGGGCTCATCTTTCTAGCCAGACTGGTCAGTAGGGAATGAAGGAATAGGAGACGGGGACTGAGAATGTGAACGTATGGGGAGTAGTGTGAGTGAATGCGTCCTGGAAGGCGGCCTGCAAAGCAGTTAGGAGGATACACGGTGACCCAAAGGGATTCTAGGGCACCAGGAACTTACTGGAACTTACTGGAACTTACTGGTGCCCAAAGGAGATTGGATCCCTGTAATGCGTACTGTACTGGTCCTTGTATTCCCTCCTCGAGACTCCCTGAAGTGCAAGTACTTGAAGGTCAGCAGCACCCTGTCTCCTGCCGTCACCTCATGGCACCATAGAAGCAGGTGATTTCAGGCTTATGAATCTGGCTTGGTTTCGGTATTAAGGGGCCTTTTCCTGAACCAATCTAGGGTTTCCAAGGCCACTTTTTGGAGGTCTCTGTAGTAAGGAGTTTAGTACTTTTGTGTACAGGGGGCCCCAGTTTTTGGAAGTGCCCATACAATCCAGACAAGATATCGCGCAGAAGATTGCCCAGATTGCAACAACCGCCATTCTTGTGCCTCAGCAATTTTTCCCTTCAATCGCAAGCTCGGCTCCTCGCGCTTGAACTTCAGATGCAGCAGCGCTAGAATTATGGTGAAGGGTGAGTATATGAAGCATTGCGCGGTTTGAGGGGAGCATGTAAGAGTCCCAGTTGTTTCCCACTTAAATGCCGTCATAGGAACCTTCCAAAAGAGACCTTTCTTTAGAACCCCCCCATATTTTAAGCCTGAAGACTTTGCATGCGGCATTTGCCGAAAGGCACTTCCAACAGCTTTGTGCTCGCCGTCACCGGATGGAATCAGCCGTGCGCTAAGATCAGTAGTTTCACCTCCCCCTTATCCCGCACCCCCTGATACTAAAACTGCGAAAAGAAGCGTGGTATTCGGGACGAATTTTCAAGCTCGGGATTGGGGTTGCGTTTAACAGTGTAACATTAGGGAGAAGAGTTTGTTCCATTTGGTGTTTTTCCACACGCTAGCGAAGAGTACGATTTCTGAAGGAAACTGAGGTGGGCTTCATAAGTTGTTTGGTTCCACGTCATGGTCGTAATCACTCCTCTAGGAGATCGCACATGTCTTGACTGGACCTGGCCGCATGGAGCTCTGCAATTGCTTCTAGAGTCTGAGCGCTGACAGAGGACCCACTGAAGCCTTGTGTAGTCCCCATGTATGCCTAGGATGCGTTGGTTGAAGGAGCTTTGCATTTTGGTGAATCCTGAGTGCCTGAGAGCGTGCCAGGCCCAAAGGTAGCAAAGTTTAGGGCCTTGGGGTCAGTGTAGCGCACCAAACCTTCAGCTCAAGCCATTATTTCTTCTGAAGCAGCAAAGAACATTTGGGACATCCAAGAAGTGCCAAGATGCGTTTTAGTCTTCATTGTCAAGCCCACCCGGTATCCACTTCCAAGCCTTGAACCGTGTATACGCTGCCGAAGACAATTAAGCTGATGCCAGCACGGCCCATCAAGATCATGTCTTGCTTGTCCGAATGGTAGCCCTTACAAAAACAAAGCTTACAACAGCTCTTGTAGCCCATTCCTCATTCCTACAACTACTCTAAAAATTCTTTCTGCCATTCCTTTATTCCCTGCTAAGCACCAAGGCATTGCTGGGCTTTAACGATCCCACCCAGAGTGCCCGATACCTGTTGATTCAGGAATACACCCAAAATGATTCTAGGATCCCTTGTGTGATTTAGGGTATGTTCGTTCGTTAAGGGTATTGAGCCCGTGCCTCCATTTCCTACAAATCACCAGTAAATTGGTTCTGTGGTGCAGGCCTCCAAACCAGCACCCGCTGTGGCGGACGCCGAGTGCTGCTGGCTGATGCCGCGGGAGGCAATCCCCAGATAAAGGGTTTGGGGCCGGGGTGGTTAGTAGGGAAAGAAGGAAAAGAATAGAAAGTTCTGCGCGTAGGCTTCAGGCTGTACCCAAGAGCGCCTAACTTCAAACATCTGGATGCCTTTTGTGGATTGACCTTTCTTGCTGGAAGGCTATTTTTTTTTTAAAAACACACACACACACAAGCATTTTTGGCAGGGTGCCAGAGCAGATAGAGCCTTTGGAGAGAGTTGGAGTGTACGCATGTTTTTTTTTCAGGGTTCACATAGGCTGAAGGGGTTTAGGGTTTAGGAGTTGTTCCTTGGACAGATTACTGCCCAGATCTGCAGCTACGAAAGCGGAGAGATTTGGGATAGCAAGTAAAGAAATATTGTTCCTTTGTGTTACCCTCCACAAGCTAATTTGGCATCCCCAAAGGGGCCTGACAAACACATTGTCCTTCAAAATGTGGGGCTGTATGGGATTCAGAGTTTTTTTTGGGGTTCTAAAGGCATTTGCCTAGGCGCTTCGGCTCAGTGCACGTGCAAGCTTTTTTGAGTTTTTTAGTTACTTCCTCTTGACCACAACGCCATGGCG